CCTCCGGTAGGCCTGCCGCGCCGGCGCCGAGCTCCTGGGGTTGTGCGCTGCAAGAGGTGAAGCGGCATCTTAGCGTCCCCTCTTCACTTGGAGCAGTTAGGTTACAGACATTTTAAAGGGACCAGGGCTACACCTGGTGTTTGTGTCTTTGGCACAGGTAACAGTGCCGCGGGCCCTGCCCTGCGATGCCCACCCAACAACAACTCGAGTCTGGTATTTCAGAAGTTAGCACCTCTCCTATGAGGACAGGCTGAGAGAGTTGGGGCTGTTCAGCCTGGAGAAGAGAAGGCTCCGGGGAGACCTTATAGCAGCCTTCCAGTACCTGAAGGGGGCCTACAAGAAAACTGGGGAAGGACTTTTCATAAGGGCAGTTAATGACAGAACAAGGGGAAATGGGTTTAAACTGGAAGAGGGCAGGTTTAGATGAGATATTAGAAAGAAATTCTTCACTGTGAGGGTGGTCAGACACTGGAACAGGTTGCCCAGAGAAGCTGTGGATGCCCCCTCCCTGGAAGTGTTTAAGGCCAGGCTGGATGAGGCTTTGAGCAACCTGGTCTAGTGGAAGGTGTCCCTGCTGATGGCAGGGGGGTTGAAACTAGATAATCTTTAAGGTCCCTTCCAATTCAAACCATTCTATGATTCTAAGTTCCTAACTCCAAACCTGTAATGATACTTACAAAGATCAAGGCTTTTGTAAACAAAGGGAGAACAAACATAACTGAGCTGCTCCTCAGGCCATGCGGGGCTGGTGGTACTTGAGGCCATTTGGTTAACGTGGCAGCCCCCACCCTGAAATGGCGCTGCCTGGGGACAGCCCAGGCACAGTCTGGCTGACACCGGGCCGCTGCGCCCTTGGCACAGTTGTTCTGTGACCTAAATGCTTTGCCCATAAAAACCCAGGAGCTGACTGATATTTCAGAGGAGGAAGGAAATGTCAAGGCCAAGAACTTCACAAGAAGATAGATGGTATTGTTTCTTCTCTTTCCTACCTCTCTGCCCCAAGCCATATTTTGGCAAATGTTATTATTGAGTGCCAGTCCTCAGAGTATTCTTTATTATTTTAATTGTCACAGTGAGGCAAAGGGGAAGGAGTGATTTAAGACAGACAAATCATAAACCATTTTTTTCCTGTAGATGGTACTTTATATCTCATTACAGAAACTGGACAGCCTGAAGGACTGTGCTATGAGACACTTCAGCCCACTAGCTTTAAATTGTAGACAACTGCATTTAACAGTTTCTGAGCCATTTTTCAAGCATAGTTGAACATAGGGCTCCTACAGGAGTCAGGTTTGAAGGCCACTAAATCACTCTAGTGATGTATGGTTTCCTACTCTTTTTTCCAGGAGTAAATCTCTCTGCATTTACGATTGATCACCTGTCCCTTCTCTAATACTGAAAACAATGCAGCATTGTTGCAGGAGCAACCGAACCACTGTTTCTTGTCCCCTATTTAAATGTGACATTAGAGAGTGACGTAAGTTGAAGATGAGAAAGTCTTACTGCAGACAGAAGTAGGATGTAAAAAATTTCCAAGGGACCGCAACATGAAGCACTTTGATCAAGTTTTTGATCGAGGACAGTGTGACTACTTTGAAGAGACACACAATAAATAAAGCTGTATTTGCAAAGGAGTGTTTTCAGGGTACTGGAATACTGTCTCTTAAAGTTGGAAGCAGTTCTACCCAGAATTAAAAGAAGATAACTTGTTTTTCTGGATTCCTGTAGTCAAACTGTTTGTCGCTGCATGAGGAGAGGAGATTTGTGCACTTGCATAACCTTTCCAGTTCATCATCCAGTGCTAATAATGATTTAATGATGCAATATGTGAGCAAAGCATTCCTAGCGTGGACATCGTTATGTTAGCAAAGCTGTGCTAACAATAGAATGAAAACGGCCTTTGTGGATGGAACAAACTACAGTATAAAAGCAGTTTTGCTGGCTTAAGAACTGTACATTTATATAGGGGCTTATCGTGTGCCTACCCTGTTCAGTGGTCTTCCTTAACAAAGCTAAGCTAGCAAAAATCTGTTGTAGTCCAAGAAAATTCTGGAAGGTTCTGGAAACTGCATAAGGAAACGTGGGACATGAAGAACTTTAGACAAATAATAAAGATTGCCATTATCTGAAAGAATAAGTGAAGATTTAAAATATCAAAAGGCAAGGTAAAATTCACCCACTGAACAGTTTGGCTTATAAAAAGCAAAACCGGTGGGTTGAAGACGTGTCAGTTTTGGTCCAGAAATGTCCATCAGAACTGGAAACCAGACCAAAGCTACAGTACAGCAGAGCTTCAGACCAAGCTGTTGGAATCCTGAAAGCTGGCACTATTCAAGCTGATTGCAAACTACTAAAGATTATGAGCTGCAACTGCTTTCTGGGACTGCAAGAAAACCAACCAAACAAAGATTCTGAAAAATAGCAGATATGAATACAGGAGACAAAGCTTGAACAGCCTTCCTCAGTGAAGGAGTAGTCCTAACCTCTGGTAGCTCCGTGAGATGTTTTATTTTATCATTATTTTGTGGGCTGAGTACAAACCACCTAATTTTAATTTTGGACTGTTCATCTTTGTTAAGGAAAAGTAAGGTGGTCCATTGGACTGTCGATTAAATAAAAAAATAAGTTAAAAATAATCAACATATCGATATTGCGAATCACATTAATACTGAGATCTTCCCAGCTAATTTCACGAATAAGCAGACTGATAAAAAACATTTCACTTCTCTGTAATAAAAACTTAAAAATCTATTTAAATCTGCATGGATATCTGTTCTTTCACTAAATGCTGTGTATTTAGTGTATCAGTACTGAGCTCGTGCAAAAGGTGGGCTTTTCTTGAAAAGGGCAGTTGTTCTGTCTGCACTTAAGCTGTTTTTCAATGCAATCAGACTCCTGATTTACATTTGTGTTGTTGGAGATTAGTATGATCAGAAATACAGTTGACAAAAGACAGGCATTCAGGCACCTAAACCATTCCTCAGACAGTATTTCAGCAGCCTTTTACGACAGTAATCTTAGTCAATTTTTAAGGCAATTCAGGTTGTCTACGACTAGCTTAAAATGTATATATATGTATATATAACATTTTACTTTCTGTTTAAAAACCCCAGCAATGCATGTTAGAAACATTTTCAAGGCCATCAGATTGTTGGTGATGAAATGTCATTAAAGTCTCATGCTTTGTGAGAGATCACTTACCTGTCTACCTGTCCTATTAATCCTGCTTTCCTCACTGGTCCTTACACAATTCCAAGAAACTTGGCAGTGTGTACTTAAATCAGTATATAATAGTATTTTCCCAAGTTGGACATAAGAAAACTACATAAATGGGTTATCAATGTGGTATCAGATCATTTACTGCATTAATATAATTCATTATTTTTATAGCATATTATTTTATACACTACCTTTTAAATGGCAGGCGACAAACAGCAGAGCAGTTTTTTTTACGCTTAGGAATGGAAACTTTGGTTTTAAGCAGCCTACTTCAGCCAGAGCTTTTATTAGAGAAGTTGCTACGCCCTAAAGAAAGAAAACAGTTTTAGGGGATGATTATGGAAATCTGGGACAAAAATATATTCAAAGTCTGATCCTGTTTTCATGCAAATTTAACCATATAGGATGACATCTAAGTTGGTGAATTGCAGAAGATAACAAATAGTATAAAATAGGGAGGGAAGTGACCATGAATCATTTCTTTATTTCATGTTCATGTCTCAAAATGTAACTAGCTATCCTTAGATCATTCCACATAGGCTTGTGTCTACCTTGGTGTTAAAGCAAAGCGGAACCTTACATGGTATGATAAACAAAAGCCTCAGAAAATCCATCGTATAATACTGTAGTTTCTTATTCCCCTCCGATGGTCTTACTTGTATTTTTTCCATTAAAGCTACAAATATCTAGTATTTTAAAGCTTTTTAAAAATTCCTCTCAACTGTAAGTACACAATTTTCAATTTAATATAATCCCATTAATAAACATAAGACTGGCATTAAAAATTAAGTAAACTGAGTGAGATATACTGTACACTGCAAAATCATGTTTTAAAGTAGAAAAGCAAAAACTGGCCTGTTCAAGGTATCCAGCCAAGGGAAGTGCAGTGAGCAGCATTGGCTCCTTTTTTGGAGGGAGTTTACGTGGAAGCTTCAGATTGCAGTACTTCTCTGGTAACCTAACCAGATTACAAGTAAGCACTTTCAAGATGTATAAACCATGACACAATTAAAGATTAAAATATAGTTAGTATATTCATTCACCTCATAAACTTCAGAAGTTTTTCTTCACTTTCAAAAATATATACCTTATCTTGATATTTTGCTGCATACTCGATGTTGCCAGGCACCAGAGCTTCATATCTGAAGAGACAGAGCAAGACTATTAATTCAGAAGAAATGTAAAACATCATTTGTGCAGTGTAAATTAATGAGCTACTGAGAGCCTTCTGGTAATTTAGCCAGGGTAGGAACTACAAAAAAGTAGCAATTGGATCATCCAGGTTTCCACCACATGACTGACAGTTACAAGGCTCAAAATCTGAGAGAGTCTCTGCCTCAAAATCAGCTTATTAAGGGGCTTTTATAGTGCTTCTTTAGAGCTCCTCTAGTTAAAATGCCATTCATAGTTGTTCAGGAGATTAAGAAGGGACAGCATAGAATTGACCATTATGGTTCTACCTTGATGAGAAATTCCTGTACGCTGAGGAAATCAGCGGGACTTTATGGTGGAGCTTATACATCTCTTATAAAAATCATCCTAGCTAGTTTTGCATCTGCTAAGGTTTTGTGAGATTTATGTGAACTTTTGAAGGCTTATGACAGAGAAAACTCAAACTATATCCAAGCAGTCTTCATCACAAAAGACCGTTAGCCAACACGGATCCTTGTAAAACCTGTAGCTATATGGGTTTCAACAGGTGATTTTACACTGATTTCCAAAGCCACGGGCACAATACAGAGAACTGTAACTGTAATTACTGTAACTGTAATTGCTTTTCCTCTCCAAACCCTGAACACTATTAACTTTGAAAGCATTTCTTCATTGATGTGTTAATATAGGACAGATGGTCTGTAATTCAGGTGGGGAAAACCGCGGTGAGGTACCTCTGTTTTCCATTTAGGTAAGTGACTGGACAGTATCCCTGCATTTCAGCACTTATAGGGAATAAGGCCTTCACTTCTGCTGCAGTCAGTCTCTTTGGTAACATATCTTGGGGTGGGAGAGGGCGAGGTGCCAGTGGTGGCACATAAACCTCTGGTCTGCTCAAGAATTTCTGTAGAAAAAGAAATTAAATGTTTTTATAATGAAAGAAGGACTGTAAGACTGTTAAGTCAAACTTCAGAGGACTGGCTCACACAATTGAGATACTTGTTTCTCCTGCAACAGCTCTCTGTGTGCTGGCACTGCTGCTCTCGGGTAAGTAGTTCCTTTTGCAACCCATTCTCTGTTGAAGTTATCACTATCCCTCCATATCCATTGCTATCATTAGCCACTCCCTACCCCCAGTCTCCCCAAAATATATGGAGAGAAGAGGAAACTTGTTTTAAAATGAGTGGTTGATCTATGGCAATTTATAAGAGGAACTTTGGTTTGAATGGACTCTCAGCTACATTTTGTCTGCCTAGAAGTTTGATAGCAGAAGTATACAGAACAAAAGCTTGAATGCTAACAGCAGTAGTCTAATTCAGATTACAAACGGCTTGTTTCTGTATGAAATCAAAGAATCTAAGCAATAACGTTCCCTCTTCCCATAATCCCCTCCCAACCTGCTTTTTGACACTTACGTCCAGTTCTTCCTGTGAAGCCATTTTGTAATAGTGTCCTCGAAATTCTGCAGCAAACTGCAGTGACAGTGTTACAGAGCAGTCAACCAATTCACCCTTTTCTGCAAGGCTGACGGGACAGTACTGTCCAAACTCCCCCAGCCGGTACTGCAGCTCTTCGGGAGTGATACACAAACCAGCAATGCCCGCGGCTTTTCCTGTTAATAAAAGCAATTAGTGATAATGTTTTAGTAATGAAAGACATAGAAACATCAAACATCAGAAATGTTACAGTTTAGAAGATGTTATAATTCATCATGTGAAAATGATATGAAATAATGAGAATTAAAATAGCATTTTTAATAGATTGATATTAAAATGAAGTTGCAACCCATTTGACCAATTAATTTTAATAATTTTTTTCTAGCACTTAAGAAATATAATAATTGTTAATGATGTGGGATACTCTGTCTGCTTAACTTATCAGTCTGTTTTCACTGGGACAGTTTTATTTATGATTTATTGTTTTACTCTTTTGTGTTGCTAAGGAACATTTCAGCTGTTATTTTATTTCTTTACATTGGTGAGAAAGAATACAAGGTGTGATGAAAGCCTCCTATTTATTCATCATGCAAATGTCACAGTCTGCCTGGATGAAATATATTCAAAATCTTTTATAAAGTGTCATATAAAACCAAAACTATTTGGGTTTTATATGTGCTTTTCAAGCTTGATGTGAAAAAGTTAAATATATTTGAATTTTTTTTTTTTTTTTGCTTATGACTGGAATTGTTAAGAAAGGTGCAACTGCAGAGCTGTAAAAGTTAAAACCAAAAGATGGATATAAAATAAGGAAATCTGCCCTTTAGAGGAATTCTAGTTAAAGTGCACAGGCAGGTTTAAAAGGCATATTTATCCTGACCAATGCTGACACTCGAAAATTCAAGTGGGAACTGTTCCAGTTTAGAGTAAAGTAATTTTCCTCCTACAGCACAGAAATTAACTCAAATGGCATATTCAACTTTAATTCTGAACTTATAATTAACATTTTCCCCCTCCTTCCCTTTTCCTCCACTGATATTTAAGTGAAGCTGCAAGTCATAGTTCCCCTTGGATACTTTGGGGTACCCTTTGTGATTTATCACCCAATGTTGAGGAATCTGCCATGGATCATGAGACCTCTGACTTCTTTCTGCTGTATTCTGTTACCCTGTTCTTTGGGAGATGGCCTTGACAAAGCCTGTAGTTCGTTTTGTCTTTGCTTTCTTTAAGAGATCTCTTCAAGATGTCTCCAGGTGAGATTGAAGAATTCAAGGGTATGTATGTGTGCAAGAATTAGCTTCACCCAAAGCATTTGAAGTTGAAATGCACTCATTACATTGCAGCTTCTTAAAGAAACAAATATTATTCTGAGAAACTTATTTTTCTTTTACCTTCTCTTATTCTTTCCAGGTATATCTGTATTTCTTTAACAACCACTTGAACTTCCTGTAGTACTTTGTTCCAGATCCACCACTTGCTCTGAAAGGCGTCAATCACACACCAGTTCTGATGCTCCTTCTTATAGTAAGTCCTAATTGCATCAATGTGCTGTTTGTAGCAGGAATTTTTAATAGCTAGAATCTGTGAGCTGTCATGTACAGGGTAGGGAGGTCTGAAGACAGTGAAAAATAACACTGGTTTAATATGAGTCTGAAGATTAGATCATTTAATTGAATTTCAGGTGTAAATTATAGAGTTCACTTTAAGTCCTTTTTACAAAATTCTCCTTCGTTGAAACTGTAGAACATATTTGATAATACAACTTTTTTATTAAGAGTATTACCAGTTAACATATGAAAAGCAGCATACTTATGATCAGTTATGTTCAGAGACAAAGAACAAAACTTTTGCTATTTATATCCCAAATACAACTCAATAATTTTGTAAAGGATTTGGAACCTATCAGCACATATTAACTGACACACACTACCAATACACCATTAAATGGTACCCTAGACAAAATGCTATGAAAGTTTTAAAATGGAAGCCAATAGTTTATTGAAAAACAGGCTTAATTTTTACTTATGCTGTTGTCTGAAATCAAGAAGTAGCCATAATCTTTGGGTATGTTTTGAAAACTGTCATGTTTGCATATATATAAATTAAAATAATCTATCTGACCTCTAAAAATATTATGCAAGACCAGAAGATATATTTTTACTAGAACATAGAAGCATTTCTTGTTCTGGTTCTTAATTTAAATAATGCCAAAAAAATATAAGATAAACTTCTATTTTAATAAGATTAATGTCTCTGTAAGTTCTACCTTTCAGAAATATCTGATATGGCACATTTGATTTGTATTTAAGCTTATGAAATGTAATTAGTTTGGTATTTAAAATGAAAAGTTTAAAGTAAAAACTTCCAAAAAGACAGCATTAATTTACTTTTTTTGTAATGCAAATTGTCTTTAGGGTTTCAGTAAACAATTAAGCATTGTACTGATTACTTGATAAAAAGAAAGAGACAAAATGAAAGAGACATGCAATAATGCTCTAAGCTATCTGGAACTTCTTAGAAACACTTCCTCTAATGAGAACCAGGTTCTTATACAATTTAATTTTAAAGTGAATGTTCTGTTCTTTTTAATTCTCTGTCCCAATTTATAAACTACTTACTGCTCTTCCTCAAAAACAACCAATAGCTCTTTAAACAGAATATTTATCTCCTTAGAAAAATAAAAGAAGGGAGCGAGCTGAATTGAAAGGTTTAGATGAGTAACTCAGGAATTGTATACATTATTAAAATATACATTGTTTCCATCTTTTAAGAACTCAAATTAACACGTAAAAGAGAGCTTATTAGATGAAGTATAATTTCCCTTACGATGATAATAATTGAATTCATGAATAATAAACTTCAGCAGCAGAGTGAACTAGTAACATTTCTGATGTACAGTTTCATTAAAACCAGTTAAACTAAGCAGTGGGTGCACAGCATTGCACACCTGTGACCTCAGTCATGGAATTGGCGGGGCCGGCCAGAGCATGCCACAAATTCCTTATGTCTCCATTTCTGGTCTATGGAAATCAAAGCACTAGAATGTAGAGGGACTGGTGCCCATGTCTTTTCATCTGTGGAGTTTGGAGACAGCCGAGTTATGCACTAGCTTAGACACAGCCTCTGGGTACAGCAATGTGGTACCTACATAGAGAAATGACAATATTGTGTGGATAAAAATACAGCTGTTAGGGAGCATCACTACCTGTTCGTGCTTTCCTTGTCCAGCAGTGCTCTTCTGAACACTTCCTTTGCATCCATTTCTAATTCAAAGATTTTCACTGGAATTATCCTAGCTGATTCCAAGAGGTTTACTTGTTTTCTTGTTACAGGATATCCATCAATTACAACTCTACATACAAATAGAAACAGAAAGACACTTTTCCTGAGAAGTCAGCTTCTAGTTAAACATTAAGACTTCATATATTCTTAGTGCATTCTCAATAGAGACAAAAGTCTACACCCATGCCATGAAATTATCGCTGCCCTGATTTAGTAGACAGTCTTCACTCCTAAGAATTTACAACTGAACTAAAAAAAAAAATAAATAGATAGAATAAGAAAGAGTAAAGGAAATGCACAAAGGGCAAAAGGTATAGGAATGTAAGTGGATGGATCTGACTTATACAAAAGGTGGACTTCAAAATTCTGACACAACAGTCATTCAGAAACATATTTTTAACTATGGGAAATCTCCATATGGATTGGGCAGAGTAGTTTTCAAAGTGAAACATAAAATGATTTACAGTACTTGTAGAATCTTTTTAATCATATTGAAGAGGAAATGCTTGTCACATATTAGGCAATACTGGGGCAAAACACGCTGAAACAACATTCCGGTATTTGACATGAAAGAAAAGTGGAAAGAATTCTGATCTCAAGCTAAAATATTTTCAGATATTATTCAAGAATTGCCTTTCCCTGTAACAATTCTCCTTTTTGAGGAGAGGAGTTGAATGTCATGAAATCAGGATCATGAAGCTTTTTGAGTCTGCCTGGTTTGGAAGGTGTTTCAGTGGTGGAGAAAGAGCCTAGGAAATGAGGATCACATATGAATGAGGTGGAAAGACTCACTGCTTTCAGTTCCTCCTTAGTAATTTCAGTTGGTAACAAAACCAGAAAAAACCTTGAGTACCAAACCAGTCTGCATGACCAAAGAGAATCAGATGTGTCCAAGTTGGTACTGGAGTTGGTATAAGAGAGATAAAATGGTAGTTCTCAAATAATAAAATAGTTCTCATAATAAAAAATATCGACTTATTGACTGAAAAATGTAACTTCCATAAAGCATATTACTTAGATTTACTGGAATATCCTTACTTGAAAATTGCAGAAAATTATGTTTCAGTCTGGTTTCCCAGAGTAATGTGAAGAACCTCATTTTGTAGGGATTATTTTCTTAATAATAAACCACTGATGTGTTTTAGTGAAATTGTTTTACAGCAATAACACGGCAATCACTGCCTATGAAGGGACTGGCATGTCTTGAAAAATACCCTGAAACCCAAACAAGACTCTTACCCGGTGGTATTACACACATGATTCATCAGAGCCACATCTAGAGCCTGGATGGCCAGTTCATCAGGTACAGTCTGTCCTTTGTGAAGATGCTGCTTTAACATCAGTGCCAACTCAGTCTCTGGCTGATCATTTAACACTAGCCGTATGGCATTTCCCATGCTCAGGTGCAGTAACCCATATACACTTGCAAATTTCTTGGCAACTGCAAAACATTTTGATTTCAACACAAAACTTTAACATAAGCAACACCACAATTTATCACTCTGTTAAACTATGTCCTTAGTCTTAGAAGCTAACTGCCCAGCTCATTCCCTGGGTCATTTCCCATGCATAATCTTGTTAAGCAGGTGCCTAACCCTACTTAGGCCCCCAAAGGGCCCAGACCTTTGCATATGTGCAGAGCCTGCCCAGTGCAATAACAACATTCAATTCAGCACAAAACTCAGCAGCAATAGTCAGTATTATTACAAAATATCTTATAAAATATGCTTCCTCTGCTGGCTCTGACAGAACAGCCTAGCAGTTAGATCATTTATCCAGGAAATGGGAAATATGGCTAAAATTTCCTCCTTAATATGAGATAATTTGGACCTGTCTCTTCTTTTTCTAACACCCTCTTCTAATCATTAAGCTATGCTGTAAGCTGAATTTTCTCCTCCTCCAGTTAAAAGCAGCGACCTGTGGATTGAAAGAGTCACGGAGGAAAGAGAGGGGAGAAAAACTGAATCTTGGTTTTTAAATCTAGAATTTTGGAAACAGACTGGGGAATGTGGAGTTTTGACTTCTGGTCCTTGATCCTAGGATTATTTCTTCATTATACATTAGATTATATTGACTGAAAGAAGTAAGAAACAATTAGAAAATAATCAGAAATAATACAAGGGGTATAAATAAGTGTAAGTCCAGATCTTCTAAGTGCCAGTCAGGTCACTAACTTTTTAAGAAGCCAGGACAAAATTCAAAATGGACAATGCAAAAATATCTGACTGTAAATGAGACACTAGAGAATGTACTAAAGGATTCTATGCTCAGCAAGAAAAGCAGGAAGACCAACAATATTCATGGTCTATGATTTTTTAATAGCAGTAATGACAGATACAGCTTCAGTCATTAAATAACATTTTGCTTTATAGAAAATACTGGCTCCTACCTGTAGTCTTTCCAGATTTTGGAGGTCCCACGATTGCAATTTTAACTGGCACAGGTGGTTTAGGTTTTGGCTGACAAATATATTTGATGGGATTTTTCATAAATGTTTCTTTATTTTCTTTACTTGAAAAGAAATAAATATATTGTCGATGGATTACAGGAAACATTGTGTTTTCATGGCTTTGTTGTGGCTTGATTACATCTCCTTCACTTAGCTGTAGTATATATAAAATGGGAAGCAGTTGATTAGGTTTGACAAAGCCTCCTTTCCTGCCAGCCTACAGAAGTGGCTTTATAGGCAGGTAGAGGAATACCGACTGTATGAAACAAACCATCAAAGCATTCTGAAATTCATACATATGGACATAATATATTGTCTGAGTCTGAGGAACTTCCATACATATGCAATTCTTCTACAGAAAGATGAAATAAACATTGAAAAGAGAAAGAATATTCACTGTTTCCAGTAGGTGGTACCGTAACACTTTCTGTCTACCAAGAGAGTATAGTAATACTATATAACATAATACTTCTTAAATTTTCAAATAATCAATAAAATAATTTTATTCCTCTGTGAATTAAAGCCACTTATCTTCCTGACTGATATACCTGATATATCTGCCTGATATACCTGATATATCTGCCTGAAGATATACTGAGAATATTGTGTTCAGCAGAAGGCATGTACAAATGAAGAAAACAGAAAAGAATATCAATACTCATGTTATGGTGAAGTGTAACACCACAACAAGGCAAGCCAAAAAAGCTTTTGGTAAAACATATACACTGCTGATGAAATCTTTTCAAACACAACAGCCCACTAGAAAGTCTGTAGTGTTGGTGGATCACAGAGTGAGAGAAGCACTAATGGCAGAAATGGTGACTACAAGAAATGCTAAATGAATTCCTTGCACCACTGTTCACTATGGAAGAATTCAGTCATGTCCCTATTGCAGCCCTTCTTGGACAAACTGCCTTAAAATGTCAATAAAAGATGTTTTAGAACAAACTGCTGACAGCTGTAGAAGAAGTTGCCCAGATGGCATTCACCTTACAGTTCTAAGGGGACTCAGAAGTGAAAAGGTTACTGCCTAACGTGTAACCTGTTGCTTACATTGGCTTTCCTTCCACAAAAAAGGAAAGTGGAGAAAGTGACCGCTTTTTGAAAAGGCCTCCAGGATGGAACCTGGCAAACATAGTCCAGTAAATCTGACCCTGTACTGAGCAAATTGAAATACATTAAGGAAAAAAAACATCAGTTACAAGCATACATACGAAATAAAGGGGAAGAGCCAACTCAGCTTCTTGTAGAGAGGGAAATCATACCTCACAAATCTACTAGTATTCTTTGAAGGAGTCAGTAAACATATAGATACATTGATCTGGTTGTTACAGTAAGAAATAGGACTGTTTTACTGCATAGCATTACCTTGCCAGACCCTTCTCTGATTCTTAGGTTCCTATTCCTGCATCAAGTCATTTCAGGATGCTTGCCCTCAATTTATAAGATGTCAGGAGTCCGTTCTAGTGTATATCTCTTCCTATTCCTACCTCAGCTCATTCTCTGCTTATCTAGTCAGTTGCATAAGTACTTCTCTCCCCACCCCAGATTTAATCTAAAAGTAATTGCCATATACTCTATCTGCCTTTCTACAAAAAAAAACCTCTGGTCCTTAATCAATTTCATAATTTCTATTATATCCTAAAATACTGTAAAAATGATCCTATTTCCCTTTAATTATTGTCAGCAAGTACATTTCCATTGTCAGCACACCACTCTGATTTTATCTAATAGCTTTCTATAACTTCATTCTTCTAACTGAATTGTACTTTTGGGTTGGTAAAAAACCATTATAGAGCATAAATGAATGAATTGGAGAAATGGAATGACAAAATGTAATGAAATCTAATAGAACAAAGTGCAAGGTCTAGCGTGTAGAAAAAAATTTCACATATAAGCTGGGGTTCAGTAATTGGAAATGACAAAAGAGAAGAAGTATCTACCTTTGCTCTATGTCCCTAGATTATTAGATGCCAGTTTGATGCAGCCAAAGAAAAGGCAATTCTGATCCTAAAACATTTTAAGTAATATTTTTATTATATAAAGCTGTAATAAGAGCTGATCTGTATACTATTCTGATTGCCAAGGTTAAAGAAAGATGTGATCTGGAACAGGTGATGACCCAACATGATGACTATACAAAAGGGAATAAAAGTTACTTGATTAATTAGCATAGTAAAATTAAGGCTAAAGTATGTTTCCTTCAGGAACTTCCTATTTTTTTTGTATCTTGTTTATTGTTTTTCTTTTATCAATCTTCCTTTTTATTTCTGATTTATTCACAATCCAACCTGCTTTTATTTCTAGCATTAAAACCAAAAATTTACCCCCTAATATTTCACTTGCTACCTATAAAACTGTATCAGCTCACTTTTGGGGATAGATATGAGTATTTTCTGACCTCAACTTTCCAGATCTCTAGTAAAATACTAAGTAAATCACAGAATCACAGAATCACAGAATGTCAGGGATTGGAAGGGACCTCGAAAGATCATCTAGTACAATCCCCCTGACGGAGCAGGAACCTAAATGAGATCACACAGGAAGGCGTCCAGGCAGGTCTTGAATGTCTCCAGAGAAGGAGACTCCACAACCTCCCTACGTAGCCTGTTCCAGTGCTCTGTCACCCTCACTGTAAAGAAGTTTCTTCTCAAGTTTGTTGCTCTTCAAAATTTGTAAATTTTGACAACAAAGAGTTATTGCTGATGAATTACATACCTTTAAAATTTGTTGGTTTGCTTTTTTGCCTCTGCTAGGGTTGGTGGCCACCTGTGTGGCTTCTTACAAAATAAAATCACAAATCCTTTCAGTTTGTTTTCACTGCTTCTAGAAGGCTTTAAGACCTTCTCTGTTGTACTGTGTTTTGTGGATCATGAAGAATTAGGCATTTCTTTCTGGTTTGCTGCTACCTTTAATTGTGTTGCTAATGGTAATGTAACAGATTTTACTAAATGCCTCTCAGCCTTAATTTAGCTGCAACACTGAAAAGACTAACACCTTTTATTATCAGTGCTTGCTGTATTTTGTGTATATTTAGTGGTGTAGTTTTGATTCAGTTATGTAGTTTTCATTAAATATTTCTGGTATTAGTTGCTACTGTCTTATAGTATTTTTTGATGTGAAATATATTTTTTAAAAGTATTATTGAAAATATTCTTCAGCTATTTAAGAACATTACCTTGACTGGATCCCACTGACCAAAAGAACTTGGAAATTTATATGAGAAAGCTAGCATCTTATGTGCAAGCGGCAAACTTATTGGGTAACATTTCTCAAAAATGCTTCCACGATTTTCCATTAGCAAATTCAGCTTGCTATATATTTGGTAGAATATGATGTGAGGTTTCCGTCCTCCGTCGATCTTGATTTGTGGTATCAACGATTTTTCAAGTTCTTCCTGGTTAATGAAAACATAATGAAATATTTGAATCATAAACCTGATCAGATTTTAGATAGTGAATGACAGCAAGATTTTCTGTGAACTATCAAGGATTTCTTGAGCATGGTCTCAAGCCACTGTGAATCAGCAAAATTTGATTTGAGATGAGAATTGGTCTTCCTGCCCATTGAAGTTTAAATTACCTAGCCTATATTAAGTATCACACTATTTTAAAAAAGGGACAATCTGCCAGTTAACTTTGAGGAATATCCTATGAAAAAGCTAAAGCTTGAGAAGTATTTGTTATTAAAAAAATAATCAAATATCATTCTTTCACTGCTCCAAACATTTTAGGATGGCTTCTATAGTTACTCTCTAAAAATATTGCTGCTCTCTGGTGATTTATTATTCCCCAGCTTATTAAAGTAAAATGTAAAAAAATCAATTTTCTGTGGAGTTTTTTCTAGCAACCTAAGACTTTTACAAAGTGCTACTGTGTTTTAATGTCATCATTTAGTTTTCCATAAAAGATCAAGACTCCACAATGTCAAAGAGGACCAACAATTAAAGAATCAGAGAACAATGAAGAGTAGTCTTGAATAATAAATCATAAATAGTAAGTTATTTAAAGTTACTTATGCATAAATGTTCTTGGAATTAAAAAATAAAGGGAAAAATACCATGTAAGCTGTAACTAGGGGATATTAGTAGTATATTTTTGTGATTATCATTGGGATACATGATTATATGCATTGAATAGTTCAATAAAATTATGATATTTTGTGGTCACTTTTGAAAGTTTAATGTACTTTCAATTCACCTTCTTCCAAAACTGATAGAAAGGTGAATCTCTGAGCACAAAACATTAATCTTTTCCACGCAGTTTATGCTTCCTTGTAGTGCAAAGAATGTTAGGAGCTTATTCTTGATTCATCTGACATTTAATCCATTAATTACTAAAATAAAGTGATCCTTGAATCAGTCACAATTATGGGGTTGGTAAAGGTTGGATTAATTTTGCAGATCTTGGATCTATGTTTTGGCTATTTAGTTCCGTAAACTTTCTCGCTGGTCAGTGGATAGAGTTTCTTCTAAATCATTATTAGTTTCCTCTTGAAGTAAGATACATATTTTATAGTAAACAAATGGGACCAGTCTGCTTACTGCCTTAGATGTGGGCATTAACATTGCAGATATCTAAAGTTAGATGAGGTTACCTCATCATAGGTAATTGTACCGATTTCAATAAAATAACATTACTAATTACTGTATAAAAAATTAGATTTATCTAATAAGAATTTTGCCTTAAAATTTATTTTTAAATACTATTCATATATTTATGACTCTCTAGTTTGGTTGCCTGCATCAATTACCTATTAAAAAGGAAATAAGTACCCCAAGACTGGGTAGGTCTGCCCTAAAGTTTCTTTTGTTTTTTCCCCACAGTATTAGTCTTATAAATTACATACTTTTTAAAGTATATACCTTCTCACTACAGCCTTATTTTGCTCATATATTGAGATCATAAGTACAGCAGCATGTTTGTTTAAGCACTATAACTTTTGAATTTGACAACTAAAATAAAACTGAAAACTCTTCTTGCATCATGCAATCATATAATTTAACAAAATAAGCAGTGGATTAGGTACCTCTACAGTTTGTAATCTGACTGTTTCTGAATCAAACTGTTCTGTAATTTCATTTTGTATGCGGTCAACAGCCTCAATCTCCTGTTCTTCTTCAGCCTCTTCTTCTTCTTCTTCTGGAAACTCTTCTTCAAGTATAGCTTCAACATCTTCATTCTCATTCTCATCTTCCTCCTCAGTGGCTTCATAATGCTCCTTATTTGTTAAAGGCAAAATATTTTGTTGTTTCATGTCTATGATACAGATGTTTTGAAGGAACATATGGTATTCTTGTCTCTTTTTTAATTAGAAAAATCATCAGTTCAACAAAACTTCATTTTGGGGTACCCTTTATCGTAAACAAAAATCTAGTAAATTCTAGAATAATATTTCAGAAGAAAATACAGAGGTACTGCATAGTGCATACAGTGAAGCATTGTACCAGTTCCAAGAGTGCTTAAAAAACTGAAGTGCTAGACTGCAGAGTATTTTTTTCATACATAGTATTGTAGTTTGGCAAGACTTTGTTAAAGCTTGTTAGCTGAAAGTGTAGTTGACAGAATTTAATGAGCAGTCAAGTAGTACATTAATGCATTTAAAAATATACTATGTAATTGAGTTTGGTCAGAAATCCTGGTACAATCCTATTCTGGATTAACCATGGATTTGACAGGGTACTTAAAACACATGTCTAATTGCAATTAGTGGGGGTACTCTTATGCTTACAAATTAGATACATAAAACACATTCATAAGTATTTTGTTGAATTGGAGCACATACTGAGAATTCTTTCAAAATCATTTTTGGTGTTCATGAGTCAATAGTTCCTAAAACAATTGAAACATTATTTCAAATTATTTTTGAAAGTAGAAGTTTCTGACAGTCTGTCACATTTTTACTATTCTACATTACCTGAAAACTCTGACTAAAAGCTCTAGAAATTTCTAATTTATAAGGGGAGGGTGAGAGAGCAGGCTGTGTTTGGCTGCAAGGTGCAAGCCAAAGGGGTGAATCCACCCAAACCACCACAGATACGAATGCAAACACTTCTATTTTAAATCTTTTTTATTAGCTTGTTTTCTTACCTTCTTTTCCATTTGTTTTCGTTCTGCTAAAAGTTCTTCCCTTCTTCTAGCAATCCTCTCATCCTGTTAGTGAAAAAAAGATGTAAGAAGACAATGATATTTGCTAATAAAAGCTCTCCTCTCAGTATTGGTAATGTGACCTAGAATTAATATAGTTCTTTCCACCTTAAAACTCTGTTTCTAGTTGCTTCTAATGTTAAAAAATACTATCTGTGCAGCTTGAAATTTTGCAGACTAGATACACTCTCTACTAGGTGAACATGTAAGTAAATTTCAGTAAAATTAACTTGGCAACTTCTGAGATTGAGATTACAGGGGAAAAAAGACTGATTCTGATCACACTGAAAATACAATATTTTTATTGGCAAGCTACCATGTTTCTAAACTTACAGGTAGTTGTTGTCATTTGGCAAAGGGGTGACTGTGCATAGTATTAAATGAGTGCTGTTGCCTGTGTCTGTTTAAAACTGCCCAATTTTGACCAAGTTATAAGCATTTGAAACAGTCCCCCATACATACTCAGTAGATACATGTCAAGTACCTGATGGCTAAATCCTAACTCAGAAGTAATATGCAGAAGCATTCTACTTAAGGCCAGTGGGGTTGATGTAATTGCTGTTCTTGCACACCATAATGCTGTCACCTGAACTGAGATCAGAAAAACTGAGTATCTCAACACGCAGGCAACAGTGCAATTTTAGAAATCCATGTTAACTCCAAAGCTTTGGCCTGGATACCAAAGCATTCTAAGCAGAGCAACAAGAAACTCTGCACAGACTAATTTTTTTTGCTCTTGTGACTAAACTCCAGTGTTCCCAAACAACACAGCACTGAAGGTGTACTCATTGCTCTCAGTGTCCTGTTGCCAGCTTCTTTCAGTGGAAGGAAACTTTAGGATAGCATTCAACTGGTCTGTCAGCTTTTCCCTGACTCTCTACATCCTCCAGCTTTAGGAACAAAAGAAGGCATAACAGTACACCCAGCAATGCTGCATGCTCACAGCACCATCCAGCTTGCTCACCTGGTTGCTATGGAAAAATACTCAGTGTGTAACTAAAAACTATATTGCAATACACATAAGCAAAAAACAGTAAATTACTGTTACTCAGGAAATCTTGATTCTGATCTTTCCTTACTTCTTAATGCCTTTATCAATTTGTATCACTGTTCCATGTGTTTTAAATAGGAACGTGTTATTTTCCTTTGTCATCAGGAGCCATATTGACACCTACACAGTTCATTAGAAGTTTGGACCCTAGGATCTGTAGCAGAGTTATCTGCCACTTGAATTATCAGAGTAACTGTTTACAGGGTGAGATTAGTACAGCAAGGCAGGCTGTTCACTAGAATGCACCTTTTCCAGCAAGACTTCCAAGATGCATCAGGAAGGACTCAGTGGAAAAAATACTTTAACTCTCCTAGCTCATACGCATTCTCAGAGCCAACCTCTGGCACAAACACTTGAGAAAACTTACTGGTGTTGTACGAGCCTTGTCCCAAATTCTCTTGTACTAACTTCCTGTGTGCCAGCTGCTCTATAGTAACATGCTCAGACCTTTTCTGATAGTACATGTGAAGTACTTTATCTCACTTTTATAGAATGTTAGGAACCTTGAATATATTGTATGTGCTGATTGTAAATGTGTGCGCAGAGGTTTCAGGTTACTTCAAGTAACTTATAACCTGTTCAGTAGTAGGCACAGCTCTCTTCAAATAGGAGACTGTGCAGCTGCAACAGCACTAATCACGTGGCTCAGTGCTACTACCTTTCTGTGCAGAATATCATAGTTGGAAACAAAGACATATACCCTATACAGTACTTATAAGTCAGCCTGTGGGAGATGCAGATCAACTCAACAGCCCACACTGAGGGAATCCATGATGCAACAACAGTGCCGTGCATGAGCTGTGTATTTGATTTTTTATGGCCATATTCACTCTCTCCATCTAGCTGCCTTTTGTCCAGGACTTTCCAGATGTCTGGCACTCTGTCAGACACTTTTCTTGGGCTGTGAGACATCTAAACTCCTGCATGAATTAATTACACAGGGGAGGAAAAGAGCCCTAAATTCTTTTTGGTTCCTATGGTAAATCTAGGAATGCTGTGAATGTGTGGAGCTGTATCTCCTGGCTCCCCTCTCTGTTTCTCTGTGTGCTCTTCACTGCTTTGGGAATTTTAGAATCTGTGTTCAGATCTGTGCTGCTGAAATTACAAAAAAGTAGACAGGACTGAAAACTTACTCTTATTTTTGCTTTCAGCTCTTTCAGTTTCTTTTTATTTTCCATTTTTTTATAGTGGCTTTCTTTCCATTTTTTCAGACGTGGAGGGAAAAGACGGTCAAGAATGTCGCTTTCTTCTACTTGAATATAAACTGCAACATCAGGACAGAGTCCTCGATCTAACAAATACTGGGCTTCATCTGAAGTACGAGGGAAACCATCCAGTATAAACCCTGTGGACCTAATTGGAAAAGAAGATATTTATCATTACACAATGTAATTTAAAGTGCAACACAGTGAAAATGCAATTAATTTGAAAAAAAAATTAAACTCCCTTATTAAATGTATATGTTAAGAGTAAACTTAAATACTTTCAGGTATTATCTTTTGACAATGTAAAAATGATACTTCACCATGTGTTTTAATTGATGTACTAACAAACAAATGTATTTCTTCTGAGGTTTTAATGTGCAGAGATTAATTATTTTAAAATAACTTAAAAAAAACCCAAACCAAAATAAACTGTGTCCTCAGTATTGCTTGTGTGACTCTAAAACCAGTGCTTCCTAGCCACTGCTCTCAAAAAAATACAAGGTGCACCAAACATTATTTTGGTAACATCTGCCACAGAAAGTTTGTTGCCTGAAAATTTATTTTTCAGTAATGCCTGACCATTTCTTCTCTAGTATAGCATGAGAATTTTGACACTCAGCATGACCTGCATCTCCCTTCCTGCAGATATTAAAAACATGTCAGATATGTCTGGAAAGCTCTCTGGCCTGTTGGAGCTGTTACAATCTCAAATTAGATGAGTAGTTCTGTAAAGCTAAATGTTGTGTTAATGAGAAGTTAGTACTTCTCTTTATTACTTCAGCCCTGAATAGGATCCATTGTAAAACCACAGAAAACTAAAGACGTGACAACGGGTGGGAGTGGATGGAAGAACAGGTGGTCCTGGATGCTGTGGGAAAAACTTCAGGGGAGGATATTGATTATGATATATATCATGATGAAGGTTCTCTTCTCTGTTCCTGGTGAAACTGAGTTTATATAATATAGTATCACAAAATTACGTGTAATGTTGTGTTCAGATGTGTGCTGAACACATGTGTGTTTTTTTCCTAAAACTGATCTCCCTATTTTTACACCATTATGAGAATGTTGGCCCCTATATGTGGGCTGACAGGACAAAAATTTATTTGAGGATCTTTTTTATTATTTTTAAGGCATTTCTCATACTGGAGAATTGAAACCTTATGGTCAAGCTGCCAGCAGCTATGATCTGAATGGAAATGAATGGAATTGATAGAACATGGAAGCAGGGATTTACCCTGCTGAAATTACATCCTAAAAAGCCAGTCGGCTTTCTAGGAGTTGATGATCTTATTTATCCAACAATAATCCACATTTATCACAGTGTTACGGCTGTACTTTCTGATATGAAAGGAAGTCTGTTGTGGGCACATCACTGGAGTGCAGATAGTGATGAATGCACAAGATAACCTGATACTGTGTTATTTTAGAGATCACCAATACTTTGTTTTGCTTTCCACATAATATTTACAATTTATCGAAACTAATAATTACAGCTGGATTCCAGCTCTCCATGATAATTAATTACATGAAAACATAAAATGTTTTAATTAATTAATGAAAATTAATTCATTAATGTAAATTTATAATTAATTACATGAAAACATAAAACATATCTATCCTGTAAGCCCACAAAAACTACCCAGCTACTCAGGAGATTTAATCTAATTCAAATTCACTAAGTACTTTTTTCCAGTCCTGTGTCGAGCACATCAGACATTATGTTACTGTCAAAATATCAATCAAAACAGAACAACAAAACTGAGACTGAGAGGTAGGTCATGATTCATAAAAAGTATAAGAGCATTGAAATAATCTCAGCAATAGTTATTTGTAATTGTAATGGATGATATGCTTCCTAAGATTAATTAAAAAAGAGATAATCTAATTACAGTTACCGGAATGGCTCTTTCCTCCACCAGTCAAGAACAATGTTATCAAGGACTTCTGGAGGCAGTGCCTCATAATCCACCAGATTTGCTTTGATTGCTTCCTCTTCATCAGTTAACTCCACTTCCTTTACACAAAGAAAATCCACAAAAAAAAAAAAAAGAAAAAAAACCACAAAAAAAACAGAAAGAAAGAAAGAAAGAAAGAAAAAGAAAGAAAGAAAGATCTACCTTGACTAAGTAAGGTACTGTCTTCATTTGATTTAAACCAGCAGAAACAAAGTAAACTCATTTGCCACATGTCACTGTGCTGCATTCTACATTTTTGGGTATTTTCCACGTGCTTGGGCTTGGGTACTTCCCTAGAGTTGGGGCAATGGCTGCTGTATAACTTTTAATGAAACCTAAACCCAAGGACAATTGTTAAGTATGTAATTATACATATGCTCAATTCAGAGAAACAGAAATGATCAGTTTCTCCTAATTGCCTACAAGAATTTTTCCACTTAGCTATACATTTTCTCATGCTGGAAGACTACCTGTTTGACATCAGAATGTAGTTTTACTTTCTGAAAGCAACTTTTATCTTTTGATGGAATTCAAAGAAAGATGTCAAAGAAAGATATGTAAACTTCTTTCTGGGCATAAGCACGTGACTAGGAATCAGGAAGATAGCATTGTTCTACAGAGCAGTAGCAGTATTAATGACTAGTCAAATGCAGAGCATTCAAATTCCAAATCTAGCTGTTAAGTTCTTGTGAAAAACTTTTTTCAGAATATGTGACACTGATATGGCTGAGGATGCACTTCTCATAGAATGGCTTAATGATACAACTGCAGTAAAAAAGTATGAAAAGAAGGTATAGATTGGTGATTCTGGATTAGTTTACATCAGGCACAATATCAAAACACATGTTTTTACAAGTATACCAGATAAAAGACAACATTAGAAGTCAAAAAATATCACTGTTCCTGACCTGCTATGGTAATTTTTCATAGGAATATTAATAGAATAAAATATTATTTTCTAGTTAGTTGATATTTATTTCCTGAAAACAGAATGGCAAAGTTCATAAGAGAAATGTATTTGGTATCCTTTAAAGAATTCAATACTTTTCTGCCATAACTTATAAAGGTCTTGTTTGTAAAAAGCCACCTATATTTGTTTAAGAAGACCAGATATACACTACCAAAAGAGTGTGGTTTTTTTTAAATGTCAGTGGCCATCAAGCATGCACCTAAGTTGCATCCAAAGTCACCTGGAGAGAAAATCTGATATGCAGCTAGATATTCTCCTGTCCCTCTCAGCATATGGATTAAAGTTGTCCCCTGAGTTTCTTTTGTGAATTCATTACAAAGTTCTGCTGTCCTTTCCTCATGTAGTAGTCAATAAGACAAATTGCTCAAGAATTTGTTAGCATAATTTGTCAGAAAATAAAGGAATAACACTTTTTTACAAAAGGATCCAAATATATTCAGGAACTCTCCAAATGATGGTAGGGAGCTGCTTGCTGCAAGGATGTGTCTGAATAAGAATCCCTATGCCTGACATCTATTCTGATAATGCAGCCAAAAGAATTGAGAATGTGCTGGAAGACACAGATCTAATGTAGTGTGTGAGTAATAGTTTCTCTAGAGCCTGACACAGTGTATATATTAAAAGATATTCGTATGGCATAACGGATACCTAAGAAGGCACAGTGGCTGCCAGATCTGTAACACAAAGCATCTTGAAAGAAATGTGTGAAGTGGGAGAAAACAGTAAAACCCATATAAAAATGTATCACTGACATTACTACTGCGGATGAACTGTTGAAACAGCAACTGTATTTGGCAAAAGAAAAGAAACACAAAATGTATATTCTGGGTACAGAAAAGGGAACACCTCGCATAGCAGAGGTTCAAAGGACAAGGTTGGTCCCCAGACCTGTCAATGCTGTGAGGGCTTTGGTTGACACTTACTAAGACAACAAGGATGATATCTTTTTGCTAAACTTCCCAGACTGCATGGTATGTTTTGTTTGCCTTTATTGAATATTATAGCTGACATTTACCTTAAGCTTTTATAGATACATTTCTAGTGTCTTGCACCAAAGTGAAAGAGAATGATACAAATGGAATTAAATGAAATTATTTTGGAGAAGTAGTAGATCAGTGAAAAACAGGGTAGTCAGATGGTGTGGTGGTAGTCATACTCAGAAAAATGCTTATGGAGTCCATAGCCTTATCCTCCAGAGTTTTGTGCATGGACCAATGAACAGGTTTCTAATCTGAATTGCTTTTGCATCAGACGTGCTTTGGTCATGCCATCAGATAAAGTGCTTTACAAGAAGTATGAGAAAAAAATATTAATGTAAAAGAAGATTGTTTACCAGCAGCTAAGAAGATGATGAGGTAAAAATACTAACAGAAGTGCCTTTGTGTAAGACATGTACTGATGCCAAAAAAATAAAGCTGAGTGAGAGCCAGCCATACCCATCAGTGCCAGGAACACTTGCCATATTTTTGGCTGTGATGACCAAGTTGTAAACTGACTTGCCAAAAGAACCCCTCTCAGATTTAACTGATGAAAACCTGAAGTTTTGTTCTGACATCCATAATTTTGATCTGTACTCCATCTGTGTCGAAGCATTTACTTCCAATATTACGTGCTTTTGTATTATTCCATCAGGAACACTACCTCCCAGTTATCAGGGACCTCCCCTGCTTTTCAAGACAATAGAAGAGTGGCTTTGAATGCGCCTTTGGCAGCTTCCTCAGCACCTGTGAACCCACCCCATTGACATGTATATGTCCAGATTACATAAACGATCACAAATTTGATCTTTTTCTGTTGTGAGTAGTACCACTCTTTACCCGTGCTTTCCTATTAGACACAGAGACCTAGAAAGCCGTAGCCTAGACTGTACTTGTAAAGACCATGGTCTTCCTTTGCCCTATTTAGCATCTATCTCTACTATTTAGAAAAAAACCCCTATACATAATTCTTGGAAACGTTTTGAAGAAAGTTTGTGGCATTCATAAGAAAGCATTGTCAAGAGCTATTGCTTCCAAATTTCATCAAGTAAATAATTTAACATAAGTGTTTTTTATCAAGCTAGAATTTTATAGGAAATTTCTATTCTGGTCTGAAAATGTGTGTATGGACATAAAAAAAGCTCAGATTATTACCTGTTCGCTGTTTTCAGTCTCAGTTTTAGTGATGGTATGAGAGAAGTCTCCCAGTTCCTGTGACAGAATTAGCATTTCATTGACATCTTCATCAGGTTCTTCATCAGTGTGGGGCCCAACTTTCTGTTTAGTTTTGGGTAAGATCAATTCCTGTAGATATTCTTCAAACTGAATATGGAAAATGCCTAATTTGTCTGCTATCTGTCGTGCACAAGTAGTTTTACCTGCTCCATGAGTTCCAAGTAAGCACACCCGTAAAGGAGGAGCCTATAGGAAAAAAATGGAATATTTTGTAACAATTTAGAGTCTACAGTGCAACCCCTACTTTTTCTAATTTACAAAATATCACTATAAAAATTGCATCAAAAATAGTAATATAAATTTGCATTTGAATTTTTACAGGCTTTATATTACTGTTCCAAACAGACTAGCCACTGTCTGGAAATACTGAACAAATACAGCATGGCAGTTGATGTCAGGAGGTAAAAATGAAACTTCATTAGACAATTGTGGTATATCTTCCCTTCTTTTACTCTTCTTCCACTTACAAAAAAAGACTTAAAGATAGTAAAAACTCCCAATATGTGTGATTTGTTAATCACATCTTGTAATTATTGTAAGCCTTTGTAATCTTCCTCTGTTTTCTGCTTTATTTACATCATTGATTCAATGCGATAAATTAAGTGTACACTAAAAATTGAGTAGGGAAGCAAGGTGTTTTATTTGTTTTGTGGGCTTGCCTGATATATCTATTGTTACCTACAAAAAATCAGCAATAATTTACGATTATCAATGAGAATGGAAAATAGTGATTTTAATCTGTTATTTATTATTATTTATTTATTATTAATTATCCTTTAAACAGTTTTGAAGATTCTCACTTGTAATGGTTCATTGCGAGCCACGTACTCCTCAGGGTTCTTCAAAAATTTATCTCTGTACTCAGAAGTTGAAAAATAATAAATCTTTTCTTGATATTTAGCTGCATGTTCATAGAGTCCTGGCTGAAGGACAAAGTTTTCTTTCAGACTGACTGGACAAAAGTGTTTTGTGTCTCCCATGAGCCTTTTCTTTTCCTTATTTTTTTCTTCATCCTGAAAATATTATGAAAATTTTCACAAACTATTTGAATTCAGTAGTTCACTTAGATTAAGTAGATCAAGCAGATCAGATTAAGTAATGTCAAATACATCAACTGAGCACTGAATGACAATGATATTCTCAAGATAGTTTGTAAGCTGAATATAAATCTATGAAAATACACACTTGGTAGATTCAGAGTCAGAAAGCAAACTGTTCAATCTAGCAAGAGAATTTCTGAGAAAAGAATGACCATTTTAAATTTGAAATTATAGTATCATAGTTAGCTGTTAAAGACCAAAATTAGGCTAGAAGTATCTGTGTAACTTTTCCTGCTGTGTTCTTGAAACCCGCTTTCTGTTGCTTCTAAATGTGCAGAATTAGACCTCTTAGAAAAGGCAATGAGAGCTGGTATTATGAAGTCAGATTACTTATCCAATAAAATCAATTTTGAAAAAAATGTATTCAATACTGCTCCAGTACAGTATATGGATATCCTGTACTGTTAAATTTGGGGATAGGAATCTTCCAATATAGAAAGAAAATAAAAGAAAGGCAAAGCTCGACCTTTAACTTCATTAAAGTGGGTGTTTGAAAATTATCAATAGCTGAGATGAAACGGAGGATTGTACATTAGGACTCTGGATCTTCTGATGTTTACATGATGTCTCACAGAATCATTGTTAGTCAACAGAAATCAAAGTTCACATTTGTTTCTTTAATAAACCCCCTCTTTGCCATCTGGCAAAACTAGGTACATTCATTATCTCTGTTAGCACGTGGTATTTATGCTTCTCACTGGAGTAAACTACTATCAGCCAGAATGTAGGAAAACAATGAAAGTGTTGGAGCATATGCTGGTATTTTCTGTAACAAGGCTGAACCTGGATCATACAAAATCAGGTGAAAATACTGACTTCTCTGGTGTTATGTTCAAACTGAAAATAAATGAGTTAAAATAAAAGCATAAACAGACAAATGCTTACTTCTTCATTTTCCTCTTCTTCAACTTCTTCATCTTTCTCTTCAGCAGCCATATCTTCTGCTTCCTCATCTAAGTCTTCATCGGATAATTCCCAACCATGATATTTAAAAGGTTCTAAAAATGTAAATTTTTGTTTCTGTTTCAATATTTTTCATTTGGCTATGCCAGAATATATTATCTTTGTCCATAGAGTAAGCACATATGTGAAAGCAAATCATGCCAAGCGTATATTGCATTTCTCCTACTCATAGAACAAAATGTTCTCCCCGGATGTAGGAATTAAATATATTGCTTCCTCCAAAAATGGAAAATCTGGTGATTGTTTTTTCATTGAATTAAATGGGTTTTTCAATGGGAACTTGTAGTACAAAAGTATTATACAAACACATGCAGATAGTGCCATTACTGTTTTCAATAGTGTTTTTTACCTATTGTTCATTGGGGAAAATAATCAGTCAAATTTAATTGTTTATAAAGCTATCACAATAGATGTTTTGGTTAATAAAATACTTGCATATAGTAATGCTAGGAAAACTGTAGTATTAATATTATTTATCCTGCAGTCAAAATTGTTAGAGATTTGAGCACAAAAGTGAAGAAAGGTAATTTGCCAAAAAAATACCAGTACTGCAAAAATCCATTCTTGAAACACAACCTATGCAGGTTGGTAGATTAGATTATTACACCCCCTGAAAGTCTCATTGACTTCAATGAATACTGTACATTAGTGAACCTTTGTTATCTGTCCATTTCTCAAACCAGTATCTTGACATGAACAGATAGAGCAAGTTACAGGGGAAATGTGCTGTCAGAATGTTTGGGGAGCTATTATGTATGTATTTGTATATCCATATATATCTTTCAAATATATATCTTTCCCACTCTTCCCATGTCTTAAAGGCTGCTAGTGTGCTTTTCAGCTCACCCACAAAACACAGCATGTCCTGTTCCCACTTCATGTGAGTAATACAGAACTGAGTATAACCTTACCCCCCACCCCCATCCCAATATACTCATCATACAAGCTCTACAAAATCCCTCTTGGTAGGTTAAGTGTAAATCACATAAACAGTATTACTTACTTTCCATAACCAGCACAGTTTGATTAAGCAGACTTTCTGGAGTTTGCTCAGCTATCTCTAAAATAACAACCTGAATTAGAGGTGACTTCTTGATTTCTGACTCCACTGTTTGCCAGTCATGCATGAAAAGGTCAATCTTCCTTTTAATTGTTTCCATTTCTGGTATATTTGGAATATCATCCTCTGCAAACTCGGGTAGCATGATTTCTGAAAATCAAATAGTATATATAAAGGCAATGCTCCTCTAAAATGTTATGCATTTAAAAATTATCATTATGCTTTATGATTATTTTTATTTTCCTCAAATATGGTGGCATATTTTTTCAATGCTGCTTCCCCTCCTAGTTATGAATTATTATATTACTAGTTTACAAAGACAGTTTCAAAATGCCAAATTCTTTATGCTGATATAGTATATAATGATGCTTCTCCAGGAAAATAAACAAGGTAAAATTACTTAATTAAATTTGCATACGATTATTGAAATCAGCACACAAATAAATAATGACTCCCTCTGCAAAGAAATATAAGGAATATATATTAATTAAAAAATTATTATTTAGTGATGAACAGTTTTTGACAGGCTATCCATATGGTCATGCCTCATATGGAATGTGCCAGTATAGGAAGAAATAAAGAGTAGGAAAACTAGCATACACTGCAAAGAAGCAACTTCATGTTCTGACCTGGTTCGGGTTCAGTTACTGAAGCTGTTGTGGAGTGTTCAGGCTGCATGTTAGGTATCTGCTCTTTTTCAAGTGGAGTATGTTCTGTTTACGTGAATAGAAATATAACACTGGATTACATTAATATTACTGGATACTTTTCCTCTTTGGCATAAGATCTCAATATACAGATGTTAATGAATTAAACCTTCATTTACTCAAACAAAGGCACACAGACATACAAAGCTCAACATGGCAAAACTTCAGAGAAAATAGAAAATTTATAGGAGAAAGAAAAAGAAGGGACTAAACAGAGAAGTCCACTTCATTATAAAAATCAAGGATATGAGGGTTGGTACCAAAGACTGAGCAGGCAAACAGTGCAGTGCCTCAGCCTGGGTGTAGCATGGCAGCTTGCACAGCAGTTAGTGTGGAGGGGTGTGCAGGAAGGGTGCAAACACCCTACCAGCTCAAGAGGTGAGTTCCATTGGTGGCCATCACCCTTTCCGAAGGAGCTTAGCTATGGTATCCACCCAGCAGAAAGCTCTGTCCTCTGCACTTGCCAGAATGGATGTGGCAACCCAGACAGCTCCCAGGAAATCATGCAGCCATCCAGGTCTCAGGCTGCAGGGAGTGCCAGAGCCTTTCACTGGTAGCAGACAGCAGAACAGCTGCATGAGGTGTGACCAGGTGGATGATCTGCTCAGTCTGGTGGCAGAGCTACGAGAGGAAGTAGAAAAGTTAAGGAGCATCAAGGAGGCTGAGAAAGAGAGAGACTGGTGGAACCATGCTCTGCCCTCCCTGAGACAGAAAAAGGTACAGCCACCAGTAAATATTGGAGATCAAGGGGAATCTGTATCCTCAGCCTGTCAGGCTGAAGGCAGTAGCTTAAATGAAAGGGGGGAATGGAGGTAAGTCCACACTCAGGGCGGTAGGTGAACCCCCTCCTTGCCCACCTCACCTTCCCAGGTGCCTCTGTACAGCACATATGAGGCACTGGATGTGGAAAGGCAGCCAATGGATGATGTGGATGATGGTCCATCTACACCAGCGGTGTTGCCAGGGTCAGAAAGGCCTACCCTCTATATCATGACTACCATGACAAGGAAGAAAAGAAGGGTTGTAGTTGTAGGAGATTCCCTTTTGAGGGGAACAGAGGGCCCAATATGCCGGACAGACCCTCCTTTTAGGGAAGTCTGCTGCCTCCCTGGGGTCTGGGTTAAGGACATCACTAGGAAACTTCCTAGCTCGGTACGGCCCTTGGACTATTACCCATTACTGCTCTTGTATGTATGTGGGTGGCAATGAAGCTGCAACACATGGTCCAAGGGCGATCAAAAGAGACTTCAGGGCCTTGGAACAGTTGGTAAGGGATTCTGGAGCATAGGTAATTTTTGTCTCTCTCTTTCCAGTTGCAGACAGCAACATGGGAAGAAACAGACACACCCACTCACTCAGTCTAGTAATAGGTGGCTCCATAGCTGGTGTCACCGCCACAGTTTTGCATTTTTTGATAATGGGATGGCCTACAAGGCACCAGGCTTGCTGGTGTCAGATGGAATTCACCTTTCTCAAAGAGGGAAGAGGGTCTTTGGTCAGGAGCTTGCAGGGCTCATTGTCAGACATTTACACTAGACTTGAAGAGGGAGGGGAATAATATCAGGCTTTCTCATGACAAGCTATGGGATGACACGCCACAGTTAGAGGGATAAGTTGCTAGCAATGGCCCTCAGCTTGTTGCTCTGAGATGTGCTGGGTACACTGCAGCACACTTGAAGTCCTACAGAGACAAGCCAGGGGCTTCTGAGGCAATAGGAGCCAACAGGCTCCTATTTCACACCAGTGAAATACCTCAAAGGAATTAAAGACTTCCTCTAAGAAGGTGCCATGGCTGACAGCCCAGCTGAAATGACTACACCAATGCACACAGCATGAGGAACAAACAGGACAAGTTGGAAGCCACCATGCTGATACAAAGCTAGGAAGCCACCTAGTTGCCATTCTTGAAACTTGGTGGAATGAATCCCATGACTGGAGTGTGGCTATTGATGGCTACAGGCTGTTCAGAAGGGACAGGTGAGGAAGAAGGGGCAGAGGCATTGCCCTCTACATAGAAAAATGGATAGAGTGTGAAGAGCTGTCTCTGAAGATCAGCCATGATGAGGAGGCTGAAAGCTTATGGGTAAGAATTAGAGACTGAGGCAACAAAGGGAAGCTTGTGGTTGGTGTCTACTACAGGCCACCTGATCAAGTGGAGCCTGTTGCCGAAGCCTTCTTATTCCAGCAGGAGGCATCGTGCTTGCAGGCTCTTATCCTGCTGGGGGACTTCAACTGGAAAAGTAGCATAGCAAGCTGTAGGCAATCCAGGAGACTCCTGGAATGCACTGAGGATAATTTCTTTAGCCAAGTGACAGACAGCCCTGCTAGAGGGGATGAGATACTGGACCTGATGGTCTCCAACGCAAGTGAGCTAATTAGTGATGTCAAGATTGGAGGCAGCCTGGGCTGCAGCAATCACGCACTGGTGGAATTTGCAGTCCTGAGTGATATGGGTCAGACAAAGAGTGAAGTCAGGACCCTGAATTTTAGGAAAGAAAAATTCAGCTTTCAGCTGAAGAGCTTCCAGCTCTTCAAGGAGTTAATCAATAGGATGCCCTGGGAAACTGCCCTCAGGGACAAGGGAGCTGAACAGAGCTGGCAGATCTTTAAGGATGCTCTCCATAAAGAGCAAGAGCTCTCGATACCCAGGTGTAATCAAGCATGAAAGGCAAGAGACTGGCATGGCTGAGTTGAGACCTGCTGGTCAAACTAAAGGTCAAGAAGGAAATGCATAGGCAGTGGAAACAGGGATGGATATTGTAGGAAGAGTATAGGGACGCTGCCTGGTTCTGTAGGGAGGGGGTCAGCAAGGCCCAAGAGAGTTGGGGTTGTTCAGCCTGGAGAAGAGAAGGCTCTGGGGAGACCTTGTGGCCTTTCAATACTTAAAGGAGGCCTATAAGAAAGATGGGGAGAAATTTCTTAGCAGGGCCTCTAGCGATAGGACAAGAGGTATTGGTTTTAAACTAAAAGAGGGTAGATTCAGACTAGATATAAGGAAGAAATTTTTTACACTGAGGGTGTTGAAACACTGGGACAGGTTGCCCAGAGAGGTGGTAGAAGCCCAATCCCTGAAAACATTCAAGGTCAGGTTGGATGGGGCTCTGAGCAACCCAGTCTAGTTGAAGATGTCCCTGCTCATTGCAGGGAGGATGGACTAGATGGCCTTAAAGGTCTCTTATAACCCAAACCATTCTGTGATTCTATGGCTCTATAGAATCATAGTTCTACACAGAAATTATGATGCACTTTTTAAGGGATCTGTAACCAGGATGTCTCGATTCCTGGATACGTAATGATTAACCTTTGCACAGATGCTGAACACAGTTTGGACAGTTATATGAAACAGAAGCAGTGGGTGTTAAACAGCTTGAAATTTAGATCTATTTGTTCAGAGAACTGGAACATGTCCATTTCACAACGAAGTCTGCAACAGAATTGAAAAAGGGAATTAATTTCTTTTCACTTTCAAGCCTTATTTGTGTGGTTTAACCACTAAACCAGGCCTCTTAAGAGTTATGAATGCATCTTTCCAATTGTGCATTGCTACAAACATACAGAAATTAATTAAGAGGTTATCTGGTACATATTCAGAGATAATTTGGTCATACATGTGTAATGAAAAATTAAAGTTTACAGCAGATAATGGCATAAATTATGCGCTACATATGCATTAAAAATACACGGAATATCATAAAAGAATTGGTGCCAATTTAAAAGAAAAGTTATTGTGTTGCTTTGCTTCTATTAAACTGCCTTTGTCTCGACCCACGAGTTTGGTTTTCTTTGTGTTCCATCTTATTTTCTCCCCTCCCCATCTTGCTGAGGAGGGGGGTGATAGAGTAGGCTTTGGTGGGCATCTGGCATCCAGCCAGGGTCCACCCACCACAGTTATTTTTTTCCCCATTTAGAAATACTTTAAAAACTCCAAACAAAATAATACTTGAAACATCTATTTGTACTTCTTCAATCTTAAAAGTTGTTTTCAAATACTAAGAATTCCCATTTAGAGTAAGTTATCTGCTGAGACATTTTGGCTCTTCCCAGTGAAATGGATCAGCATGCTAAAATTACTATGATAACACATTGTCCTGGAAGAAATGGATATTGCTTCTATTTATCCTACTGAGTGTAGGGAGAATATGCAGGGGTTGAAGGCTAAGGTCCTCCTAAAAAAATAGAGGAGTTACTTGAAATCACTGTGTTATTCACAAGATTCTCAGGAACACCTTCTCTTACACTATTGGTAAAGCCCCTACAAGTAGCAGCAGTCTAGGTTTCCCATGTTCTTGGAGCATGACTTTGTGTGCTGTTCCTTCTGCACTTTCTCAGGTATATGCTTAAAGGGATCTTAAGAATACGCTTAGTTTTGCAAAGGCACGTTATACCTATGACCTATAGAACCCAAATACTGCTGCTATAAAGGTATACACATGTATGTATGTGTAATTCTAAGAAGTACCAACAATAAAATGCAAAAGTGTAACCCTTTTCTCTGGAGGCTAGAAGTCATCTATAGTTATACAAGGATAAGAAGTCCAAGCCTGTCTCCTAATAGTGTCTCATGAAAAGTAAACAAAAGTTAGAGATTGAAAGACTTCATTAATAGAAGAGATTCACAGGTACTACTTACAGCAAACATGACAAAACCATGTGTGTTTGACAAAACCATTTGTTGTTGTGACAACAAATGTGTTGTCATATTGGGTGAGCAAAATAACAAAGGGATAGGTTCTTCCATTGCTATCTATTTGTTGAAAAAGCCAGAGGGAACTAAAATTGTGATATTGACAGCAGATACTGAATTAAAAACTTGATATTGACAGCAGACATTGAATTAAAAACTTGATGTTGACACATTAACAGAAAAGGAGGAAGAAACTTATTGGTTCCTATGGCTGCAATTAGTATCCATTTTGACGTTGTTTGGCCCTGAAAGTCCTGAAACAAAGTTCTGTCTCAGCTAGAAGATACAGAAGTGCCTTGATGACACTATCACCCAGTTGTCC